GAGATGGACTCAATGACAACCACTTGGAGAGATTTTATGAAAAGCAATCTGAAGAGATATAGCCACGAAGTTTGGATTTGACTTGAAGAGATGAAGATAGAATCAAAGTCAAGAAGATTTGAGGAGATTTGAGATAAAGATAAGATCTTGGAGATAAGGTCAAAGGCTGAAGAGATAGAGTCAAACAAGAGATAAAGATGAGATCTTGGAGATAAAGATGAAATCAAAGAGAATCAAGGAGGAGTCTATCAAATCAATTTGTGGAGATCTAAGGCGAACTGGAGGAGCCTATATAAAGGAGAGAGCAAATGCATACCAGTTCTCACGGAGAGCAAAGCATATTTTACTAAAAGAGTTTTTGTGTTAGTGAGTGAGCACTCACTTTTGAGTGAGCACTCACTTTTGAATGAGTGTGGGTTTGAGAGAGAGATCGATTGGGCAAATCTCTTTTCTCTGGTGAGTGTTTGGGCGTGGATCTGAGGGGGAGACCTAATGGAAAAATCTCTATTCCTTTGGTGAGCGTTTGGGTTGGTTAGGTTTTTTATCGGTAGAATTCATTGTGAGAGAGAGTTGAAACTCAAGGGGAGTTTCATCTGGGTGTTGAGTAGCTCTAACAAAAAGTGAGTTGTACTTGACTTTTTCTCAAGTGAATAGAACTGGTTAGTTTTTCCGTTTTACTCTTTGAGGGTCCAAACTTTTTCAAGATATTTATATAAATAGTTTATAGTTGTATCTATAGACTATAAATATTCATGCTCCTTTTATCTGTCATATTCCAACTTTTATCAGAGAGAGTTCTGAATGTAAATCTTTTTACAAGAGTTCTTCCATTTTTTTTTTTAGAGTTATATTTTTTTTGAATTCTTCTTCCGGTTGTGTTGCCCAAAGCTACCGTTAACGACTACGAAGAAGATTCTCTCTTGTTTTTTTGTGCGTATTATTTAGTATGTAAACATGTTTGTGCTCACGAGTGATCCCTAAGTCTATATATATTTAGATTATGTAGTTACGTATAGGGGTAGTGTTTTGGTTCGGTTCTTCGGAATTGAACCGTACCGAATCGAAAAATGCGGCATTTTTCCTGATTCAAACCGTTCAAAATTCTCAAACGGTATTAATTTTAGAAATCTTTTTTTTCTGAAACTGAATCGAATTTTAAAAAATAAAAAAACCCCAAAATTATTTTAAGATCTATTTTTTTTTTTACCAAAAACCGGAATCGAACCGAATTGGAACCGAAACCGAATATAATATAATCACTGATTACTACCTATTTTTGTAAAACCGAAAGAACCAAACCGAACCATTTCCGAACCGAACCCAATACCAAAACGTCCACCCCCTAATTACATGTTGGAGGTCAGTTGTTTTTACTACATAGCTGTAGCAAACTGAATAAGTTCGGACAATTTATCTACGCGATGTCGAGATGGGTGGAATACATTTTTTTTTTATAAATTTGATTATCGCGTGCCTCTAAAGTGATTGGGATACGGTGAATTGTCAGAATACATGCGAATGTTATTTTCTTCTTTTGTATACTGTGCGTCAACTCAAGAAATTCACATGACGAGTCATCGATGAACTTCAGACTCGTAGTTGAACTTGCTGTCAAACACATCTCCAAAACCGATGCTTTACAAATCTTTCCATCACCGTGCAAAGAAGAGGACTATCCTCGACGAGATAAAAAAACGGCATGATTTAAAAAAACCGGATAGAATTCCGAAACTTTGCAAAGCATTAAGCATCAGTCTCATCTGAACTTCTCTTGGCACGGTATCGACGGTCAGGCCTCCTCGAACCGGTGCACCTCTTCTCCTTTTTGCCTATTTCAGGGTCCTCATTTTCCATTGCATCGAGCCCATCCTCTTCTTCTACCTCTCCCGCAGCAATTCCCATGGTTGCGATAGCCTGGTTTGTGGTTTCCAGCTCCTTTTCTTCACTGCTTCCATTTACTTCGCTACTGTTATTGTCTTTGCTAATGTTCTTTGCCCTTTTCTGCGGTATAAATGTAACCTTCTTCAGATCATTAGCTGAAGGAGACTCCATTGATTCTGATTCTGAAGCTTTTGACTCTTCAACAAACTTGGGCAAGTCCATGTACTCTTGGGTTGTGGGCTTCTCATCGGCATCAATACATGAATCACAGCTGTAACAGGTGTATCTCGAAGGATTTATCAAGTAATCAGGAATCTGACTGCCACTTTTACCCAGATGGGATGTGCTTTCTGAGGCAGAATTATCAGAACAGGGACTTGCAGAGATATCTTCAGACATCGCTGTAGTTGCTTCAACATCATTTTGTGCGCCGAGATCAAATCTGACTCGCTTACTTGCTCTTGCTTCTGAACTACTATCCTTCCTTTTCAGTATAGGTTTTGGCGCAACATCTTCTTTGGATGATTCTCCATGAGGTTCTCTCCTCCCCGAGCTATGATTATGAGAAGGGCTAAATTTTTCAATCTCAGCTTTGTCTTCCTTCAGCCTAAGTTTTGCAGCAAAGTGGATAGCACGAGGGTCCCTGGTCATCTTGCCAGACGATTTAGCAAGTGTATCCCAGGAACCTAAAGAAGATCCCAGATCAGTGACATCTTTCATATACAGACGTTCTCCAGCATTCTCTCTGCCTAAAGCCACTTTGTCATACTCGTCTTCCTCTTCCTGCTCCAAGATCAAAGTTTTAAACCATTTGAATAAAATTTGAGGGAGAGGAGAAAACAGGCACATAAGCAGAACTGGAGCGATGAAAGACAATTCAACAGAAGGCATGTTCCTTACCCAAACAAAAAAACCCAAATTTTAACGTCATCCTTTGAAACCATTGTCTGGGAGGTTAATCTAGCTGAACCTCAACAATCCTATGAATCTTTCCTAATCGTTTTGTTGCATGATGTCACTCGTCTTATTCACATGTCATTCAGCAGAAAGAGGCCAACACCCCACAACTCGAACTCGATGCAACAAAAAAATAAAAACCAATGCCTAGAATTGTACTGGAATCAAATTAAAATTTCTGAATCCTGAAGTGAGTTCCATAGGTTGAAGACACTCGTACACTTTGTACAATATAGTCCCTCAAGCAATGACCTAACTCGACGCACCCACTATTCCAAACACTAATAACATTATGAGACCAATCAACTATCATTCCTCCCAAAAGATAAGGACCAGACAACCATCAAAAGACATAACGAAAGGATTTGAAAAAGAAAAGGAGAGACTTTGGAGACAAATTGCTTTACCTCGTTATCGAGGGTACGGTCTAAGCCAATGGAGGCTCTGATACTCCATTCATCACCAAACTCATCATCTTCTCCACGCACCCGACCATCATCACCGTCTTCACCGAGTTCATCCTCGAACTGCTTCCGAGCATTCCTCGAGCCCCTCTGCTGTTTCAAAAGCTCATCGAACGAAGACGCACACGGAATCTCATCCCTATCATACGAAGCGCTCTTGTCGCGCTTCCACTCCCGCTTCTTCACATCACCGTCGGTTAGAGACCACAACGACGCCGGAGAAGGAGACGACGGCGAGCGAGAGAAGGCCAGAGATCCGAAGATTTTTTCGACGCGAGATCGGAAATCTTCGTCGGAGGATCCCGAAGAAGCCATCGGAGACGATCGGAGAAATTTTTCTTCCGATTGAATTTCTGAGAAAACAAAATATTTTGCGTACAAAACCCCAAAGGATACACCCTTCACCTCGAGGCCTTTTTTACCTGTATAATTAAATAATACTGATTTTTGAATTTTAGTTGGTCTGGGCTTTATCGAGCTTCTAATATGGGGCCCAGCATTGGCCCATCATAAGATTCGTATATCTGGGCTGTTTTGGGCCCGTTTATATGTGTGTTCATTGGAAGTGGACCGTAAATCTTGTCAAAATAGGATACAGTAAATGTTATAAATAAATAAATCAACTCAAATCTATTAGGTATAGTAAGTTTTTTTTTCTTCAAGAGTTAAGAGAAACCCTTAATCTGGCGCTTAGACCAACTCGGCCATATCAGTTTTGACTAATAAGATAATATCGAAAAATAAGAGATAATTGAAATTAAGATTATTTTAGTCACTCAACCTCTAAAAATCTTCTAGTCTCACAAAACAATTTATGAATGGTAATTTAGAATTGAATAGACTGGCGATTTCATGGCTTTCGTTGGAATTTAATGGTTTGATCTCATGTATTATTTAAAAAAAATCAAGGATTTTGTGAGATCAATCTTAATAATATTTTTAATAATATCTTATCAACATCCCCTTTATTTCCGAACAGATCGTTTAAAACTTCAAGAAAATTCCAATACTAAAACTAAAAACTAAAGACATTTAGAAAAGTAAAAAAAAAAAAAAGACAATGAATGACTTTATTTCTATTTCCTTGGGCTAAGGTTGGGTCGTCATTGTCCCTCCCCTTGAGTTTTTGTCTCATCCCTTTCTCCACCCACCATTATTAGAAATAATAATAATAATAATAATAATAATAATAATAATAATAGTAGTAGTAGTAGTAGTAGTAGTTGTTGTGGTGATAAATTCTACACTTTCATATTTTACAAAGTAATTCATACACTAATTTTTTTTTAAAAACTTAACTATTATATTTTATTAAAAAATAACTGTATTTTCATTTCTTTTATTTTTTATTTATTTTTATTTTTTTTTATCTTAGGTAGTAGATTAGACATAGTTAGCCGTGGACGTGCAATGTAAACACGGTACAACGCCACATAATGATGTATTCCTATATGACCAAATCGTGCTCTGCATATAGTAATTTTTTTTATCAAAATTTAAGAGTTTATATATTCTCGGATAAAATAAATAATTAAGGATTTTTTACAAAAAAAATAGTTTAAGTATCAATTTTTCCTTGTAAGAATAGACATATTATAAAAGGTTATGCTAGTTAAGTATTTTAATTAATTACATTATGATCAAATCTGGTGGACTATGATATAGACAATATCAATTTCGTATTCTGTATATCAAAATTTTTGTTATTGGCAGTTTATATAAAAAATAAAGTTAACATAGTAAATTGATTTGTTCCTTATTTTGTTCTTGTGAATATAAAAATAAAATAATGAATGAAATGTTTTTTTAAAAAAATTGAATGGAAATTATATATAAATTGAATATGTATAACTTTTATCAAATTAAAATTTTCAATACAAAAATAAGAAATTTAAAATATGATAGCAGTTTTTGGATAACCAAATCAAAATTAAAATAAAATTGAAGCATCGGGGTAATTTTTAAGGAGAAATGAAAAAGGAAATGCAAATCGTCAAAAGAAAAAAGCTCAAAGGTTTGGGGCTCAATTGTCCAGATAAAGTTTGTCTATTCGCACAGCTTTTTTTTTTTCACTTTAGAATTTTTGGCAAATATTGAATTGTTAGTATTTATTTTTATATTGCCAATATAAAAAACCAAATATACGTCAGCCAAATAGGTCGTTAAATTTCACATTGGATTCCTTCCTGAAAAATTCTTTGGTATTTTTTTCTCTGTTCTTATTTTCATATTTTTATTTTACCTAAAATCTTAAATCATTAATCATAAACCCTACATTTTAGATTCTAGTTTCTAAATCAATCTTAAATTCTCCTCCAATTCTAACATTCAAACTACAATTTTTAAACTCTAAAACTTAATCAATCTTAAATTGTAGACCAATTCTAAAACTAAAACTGTAAACGGTAAAATCTAAAACCTAGATTTATAATCTATTTTTTTTATTTTAGAATTTTGATTTAGGAATTAGATTTACAATTTAGGTTTTAGGTTTTAGGTTTTAGACTTCATTATTTATCTATTAGAATTTGTGATTTATATTTTTAAAACTAAAATTAGGAATAATGAAAAGAAAAAAAAGAAAAGTAAATTAATTGTCATTGATCAAATAAAACGATTAGAGAATATATAAAAAAAGTTTTAGGATGATATGGAAATAGAGCAGAATAGTTAGATAATTTGTAGTGAGGAATATCGAGTGATTGTTTTTCATTTCATGAAACCAAGTACGAATATAAAAACAATATCAAACCCTACTTCATATAAATATTTTTGTTTAAATAAAACATAACAAACCTATAATCATTTACACCGCACTGACCACTCTGTCTGTCCGGAACAAAGGCAATGGAAAGGCAAAGGCAACTACAGAGTGGGCACCACACGCGCGTGGGAGACTCATCTCGTCCTCGTTTTCTCAGATTGACGACCACTGGTGTGTTCCCTCTCCCTCTCTTTCTCTCTCTCTCCCCCTCCATCTTTACACTTCGCTTCGTCTGTGTGAGAGACTACTCTGAAGAAAGCCGCTGCCGAGCAACCCTTGATTCTCCCGACAGTAACAAAACGGCGTAATTTCATTGTTTGTCTCGGCTTGCGTACGAGTTTCTTGTTTCTTGTTCCTTCCCTTCTCCGGAAAAGGAAAGTACCCTTCTTTCAGCTGGATTCGAGCTTCCGACTCGGGCTTTGGCACAGAACGTTAGTTGAAGATAATCGATTCGTGTCAGATGTTTTTGAGCTTGAGGAGAGGATCTCACTCTCCCTATGGCCATCCATGGCGCCTGAGAGTGAAAGTGCTGGTTTAGTTTTCGGGTTTCCGTGTGATGGTAATCGGTGTTTGTAGTGAAGACGAGGAAGTGGGTTTTCACTCAAAATGCATTTCGCGAAGCTTGATGACTCTCCTATGTTTCGCAAGCAGGTTTCGTCTCCTCCATCTTTTCTTTTGTCTGTGTTTGTCGTCGTGTGTTTGGCATGTTTCTTTGTTGATTTATGTTATAAAAAAGAATCCTTATGTTGGGGCCATTAAGATTTGGTAATTTTAGATGCTCCTTGACATTTTTATACAGAAACTAGCAATCTGTTCCTCTGAGATCTCTCTGCTTCTGTTTCTGCTTAACTGAAAACTCCATTCTGCTTTTCAGTGGTGTTTAATTGAGAAATCCGCTGAAATGATTGGTTCAAGAACTTAATTCTGCACCCTATCATCTCCCAGCTTTGTTGATCAGTCACGGTTCATGGTGAACTGTGAAAAACTATTGATCTGATTCAGATGTTTGGGTTTATGGATACAGCTGCACTGTATTTTAAGATGAACTTGTGTCCACTTAGCTTAGATTCTTTTGTTTCTTTTAGGTATCTTACTTTCTCTACTGATGATGACACGCGAAGCAGAAACACGTTCTTACCAAAGAGAAATGAACTTTCAATCTTAGCTCGAAATTCTGTTTGATATCTCCTGCTTTGAAGGGTTCTTCGAGTGATACATTGAGAGCCTAAAACACGTCTTTCTGAATTTTTGGGTTTACTAGTTTCCCCTTGTTACAATTTTTGTTATATATGTAATGATTGCGATTCTTTATCCATTCTCCTTGTATTGATGTACATTTGTTCCCAATTCTTGAAGGAGAATCCACTTGTCATAAGCTGTGGCACGAGGTTTCGCTAATCTGGCTCTCTATATATGTACATTGATAAGTTCTTTTGAAACAGTTACAAAGCTTGGAAGAAAGTGCTGAACTGTTAGGGGAACGGAGTCTCAAGTTCTACAAAGGATGTCGGAAATACACGTATGATTTGAAGTTTAAGCATGGACTGACATGATTTTTGTTGTGCATTAACGGTTTCTTCTCCCTTAAAGAGACATTTTCTCCATTCCTCTTGCAGTGAAGGGCTTGGCGAGGGGTATGATGGAGACATTGCTTTTGCAAGTGCCCTTGAAACATTTGGTGGAGGACATAATGATCCAATAAGTGTGGCTTTTGGAGGTATTGGTTTTTCTGAACAACCCTTGGTGTGTCTTTATACACCTACTTGTTGTCTGAGACAGTCATATCATATGCTGATTTCCTTTTAGATGTAATTACATGACCTTAAATCACACGAAGAAATGCCACATTCCTCTCTCTCTCTCTCTCTCTCTCTCTATCACACACACACACACACACACTCTCACTCTCTCTTCTCATTACGGCATGGCTTCACTTGGCAGAAATGATTCAGTTAAAACTTGAAAACGAAGTTAGGTTACGCCAAAAGTGTTGATTGACTTCTGCTTGCTGCACAGGACCTGTAATGACCAAATTTACGATCGCATTAAGAGAAATTGGGACTTATAAGGAAGTTCTTAGGTCACAGGTATGCAAAGTTTTTCTTTGTTCCAGCAGCTGTTTTTTCATTCATTTATATTTTTCTCTTATATGAATTAGACTTGGTCGATTAAGTTTATGAAATATTTAGTGTCTTCTTATTTTCAGATTGAGCATATATTGAATGACCGATTGCTCCAGTTTGCCAACATTGATTTGCACGAGGTCAAGGTACACCCTGATGGCTTTCTTCTTGCTGTTGGATCAAAATAACTCTTTGGCTCGACGTTCTTTGTTCTGGCTAAGTCATGCTAGCCTTGTCCAGTTTGAATTGTTGCAATTCCCACATTAGGAACTCTATAAAAGATGGATAAGTATTAGTGTGGACACTTCACTTGCCAACAAAAAGGAACAATTGTTCTTCAAAATGCCAAAGATATGGTTTGTGGCTATCCCAGATTGGTTAGAATTATAAGGTAATATATGGATATGGAATCTTGAAAGATCATTTCTTATTGCAGGAAGCTCGGAAGCGCTTTGACAAGGCTAGCCTTATATATGACCAGGTGCCAATCCGTGCTTAGGCTTGTTTTACCTTTCTATTCACTATGTTGTCACAACTTCTTGCGCTTTCATCATCAAGCAAAGCAAGAACAAGAAAAAAAAAGAGTTCTTCTAAAAAATTTCTAAGTTCTCCACCAAAAAATATTTGTCCATCTTAAAATATTGTAGAGATTCTTTTTAGCTGGATGCGTGCTTCATTTTCAAATGAAGGCTGCATAAAAATCTAAACACATCTTGCGGGTACACATTTAGGCTGCTTTTCTTGGCAGAATTACTATTTGGTAATCATGTCATGTAGCTAGGAAGACCATTAATAGTTTCTGTTTTAAACCGATATAGCATGTCTGTAAAATAAATCGTGTAGTGGTAAATTGACAAATTCTTTTCCATCATACCATAGGCCCGTGAAAGGTTTCTATCTCTGAGGAAAGGTACAAAAACTGACATTGCTGCAGCTTTAGAACAGGTATGGTGCATGGATAATTAATTAAATTATATCAGTTGTAGGTCCCTTGTGGTATATATTTTCCTGTGGTATGTCTCTAAAATGTTTGGATAACATCAGGAACTTCACACTGCAAGGTCTACGTTTGAGCAAGCTCGGTTCAACTTTGTAAGTGTCTTTATTTGACCTTTGTTTGTATGTTTTTTTACATCTCCTCTACATTTACTGTTGTATTCATGCTATTGTTCGGGTGACTTTCTTCCCCCCTCCCTCCCCTGCTTCCTACATTTTATGCTCAGGTGACTGCTCTATCAAATGTCGAAGCCAAGAAAAGATTTGAATTTCTTGAAGCAGTCAGTGGAACAATGGATGCACATCTTCGTTACTTCAAACAGGCAAGTGTTGTGGGGTTTCTTTTTAATGTCTTAAGAGTGTCCAATTGTTTGTTGCTTGGTCTGAATATGCTTAGTTTTCAGGGGTATGAATTACTACATCAAATGGAGCCATACATCAATCAGGTCTGTTATTGTGGTTTCCTTCTCTTGTCTTAGTAATGAATCCTTAATGCATTGCTTTCTCAAACTATTCTGATTTCAACAGGAAGTTGATTTTTCACGACATACTTATACCTCTAATCGTTTCTTTTTTTCTTCTTTCTTTTTCCTCGAGCCAGGTTTTGACCTATACCCAGCAATCCAGGGAAAGATCGAACTATGAACAGGCAGCACTTAACGAAAAGATGCAGGAGTATAAACGGCAGATTGACAGAGAAAGTAGGTGGTGTTCTAATAGCTCTAGCGGATCTCCAAATGGAGACGGTATACAGACCATCGGTAGAAGTTCACACAAAATGATAGAAGCGGTGATGCAATCTGCTGCAAAGGGCAAGGTACAGTAAAGTCTTTTCACATATGAAAGAGTCATCTTTCTGAGGCTGCTGTTGATATTCTTGGCGCCTTTAATACTTCAGGTTCAGACAATACGGCAAGGTTATCTCTCCAAACGATCTTCAAATCTGAGAGGAGATTGGAAAAGACGGTTTTTTGTTCTTGATAGCCGGGGAATGCTGTATTATTACCGCAAGCAGTGTATCAAATCATCTGTGAGTGTTCCATTTTTCCTTTACCCATTAATTTGTCAAAAAAAAAAAATAATGCAGAAATGTGGTATATATGGTTTCGGTGTTAAGAAGTTAAAGTTCTTGCCTTTAGCTAAACCACTGTCTGTTATTGTTAAGGGATCGGGCAACCAGCTTTCTGGACAGAGAAATAGCTCTGAGCTTGGGTCTGGACTTCTGAGTAGGTGGCTGTCTTCTAGTAATTATGGTGGAGTAAATGATGAGAAATCTGTGGCCCGTCACACAGTGAACTTGCTTACATCGACAATCAAAGTCGATGCTGATCAGTCAGATTTGAGGTTTTGTTTCAGGATCATCTCACCCTCAAAAAGTTACACTTTGCAGGTATGACTTTGATTATCTGATGCTGCTACTTTTGGTATAGTTTTTTTTTACTGTGTTCACTTATTCTTGTCAGTGTAGGCAGAGAGTGCACTCGATCAAATGGATTGGATAGAAAAGATCACTGGGGTTATTGCCTCGTTACTTAGTTCTCAAGTCCCCGAGAGGGTAAATATTCTTAAAAAGACTTTTGCATGACTTTCTGCCTCTTGATTATCCAATTTTTATGATTGCCCTATTGGTTGATTTTCAGTGTCTTCCTGGTAGTCCAATGGGAGGTGGTCACCATCGGTCTGCTAGTGAAAGTAGTTCATATGAAAGTTCTGAATATGATCATATTGCTACCGAGGAATATGCATGTGAGAGGAGCTTTGCTGGAAACCATCATGAATGGCCATTGAGAAGCTTTCAGCCACAACAGTCCATTTTAAAGGGTGAGAAGCCCATTGATGTTTTGAGAAAAGTCTCTGGGAATGACAAATGTGCAGACTGTGGAGCTCCAGAACCTGACTGGGCCTCCTTGAATCTCGGAATTCTTGTCTGCATCGAGTGTTCTGGTGTTCATCGTAATCTTGGTGTGCACATATCAAAGGTAAACTATCATATAGTGAAATATATCTATGTTCTATGTTATTACAAACCCCTTGGCAACCTCGGATTTGGTCTGAATCCTGAAGTATACTCTAACATTTTGTCTTACCATTACAGGTTAGATCACTTACGCTTGACGTAAGAGTATGGGAGCCTTCTGTAATAAGCTTGTTCCAGGCTATTGGAAACACCTTTGCAAACTCTGTCTGGGAAGAATTACTCGATTCAAGGAGTGCTCAGGTTGACACGGGCTTCACAGGGTAAAACAATAATTTATGATCGAACTGATTTCCTTCTCATCCAAATAATTCGTAATTAAGAAAGGGTCTTATCAGCTGCATGTTTTGATTGTTTTTTCGCAAAGTTTGTGCAGATTCGATAATTCCCGTCTGCTTGTCACTGGCAAACCCAGCAATGCTGATTCAATATCTATAAAGGAAAAGTACATACATGCTAAGGTTTAAACCTGTGCCCTTTTCAAATAACTCGTTTCTTCTTCCTTTTTTCCCCTTCCCCATGGAATCCATATTACTCATTATGCTGTTTCTTTCAGAATTCGCTAACCTCTATCATATATGCCATTAACCTTCTTGTCATTGCCAGTATGCTGAAAAGCTATTTGTTCGGAAACCAAGAGACAGTGAATTCCCGTATTCAGTTGCACAACAAATTCGGGAGGCGGTATGTGCTAACGACAAGAAAACTGTTTACCGGCTTATTGTGAATAGTGAAGTGGATGTGAATTACGTGTATGACCGAGCATCTTCTGTCTCTTCATCATCAACACTCGCCAAAGCAATGCTAATACCCGAGAAGACGAAGCTTGAGGATGGTTTGTTCAGATTAAGCTTAGAAGAGTTAGAGGGTTACTCATTGCTTCACTGTGCATGCGGGAAGGCGGATATCGGGATGGTTGAACTTCTCCTGCAGTGTGGTGCAAATGTAAACGCAATGGATTCAAATGGTCAAACACCGCTCCAATGTTGTATTCTCAGAGGCAAAGCTGCCATTGCAAGATTGCTTCTCGCCAGGTGAGTTGTTTATAGACTGCATCCTTGATCTTAACGTTTTATCTCTGTGATCTTTACTTCAAAACCCTTCAATACGGATACATAACCTTATAATAAAATCGCTCAAATGTGTTTCGGGTGACATTTGCAGGGGAGCAGATCCACAATCTACAAAAGAAGGCAAATCCCCTCTAGATATAGCATCAGAGTCCAAATTTACAGACTCTCAAGTTCTTGCCCTTCTATCAGAAGCAAACGGGTAAAAACTGATATTTTTTTCACATTTTGAGTTTCATGAGCTGAGTCTATATGGGTATATATATATATGTATGTATGTATGTATGTATGTATGTATGTATGTATGTATGTATGTATGTATGTATGCATTTGGCTGCATCAAAAACGGTTTTTTTCAAGATCGAAGAAGTCAGAATATAAAAAAATGCTTGCCTCTTGAGTATGGTTATTGAAATCTATGTATCGATATGTTTGCAATGGTGAGGCTTCACGTGAAGAGTGTGATTCCTGTAGTGTAGTTTGTGTGTGTATACTCTATACGTTTTCTTTTTGAGTATTCAGTCAGAGCTTTGTCATGGTTGTGCCATTTCTTGTGGATGGAACAATCTCTTGTAATGTTCTGTCTGTTCGCTCGTGTTTTGATTCTCTTATTGAAATTTGAAACCTAAGCTTAGATTTCATCTGGGTTCCGCCATTAATGTTTATTTATTTACTTCTTTTTTTTTGTAAGAATAATGTTTAAATTTTATGAAAATGGTCATTTTTAAACTTATGTTTGTTTTGGGGGTTTTGCGTGAAAAAGGTTAAGTTTTATGAAAAGGGTCATGTTTTGTCCATTGTTTTTATGCTAAATGTGGTAAACAATGGTTCAATTGAAAAAAAATGGAATTACGCATGGCTTAAATTATCTGTTGGAGGAAAATGAAAACCGGATATAGAAAGTTTGGGAACCGGATAAATTTTTTAAGGTGACGTCATTTTCAAAAAATGTTATTCCGTCTCAAATGAGCAAATTGGATTTTGTAATATATTTTTGAGATATTCGTAGGAGAAATGTGAATTGTTCGTTCAACAACATAGAAATTTGAGAAGAAAGAAATGAAAAGTTTTTGTTTAGGTTTTGCAAGAATTCACACAAATAAACACAAATCTCTATATATATACACTAAAAACATCGAAATGATTCAAAATCTTGATCGTTTTTGTCGACCGATCACGATTCTTCGTTCAAACGATCGTGCAAATTAGACGACGATCAACTGATCGTTCCAGACGATCAGTTGATTGATTGACCGTAAGTAGACGATCAATCGATCATGTCAACTAAGCAATTTCCTCCGATCATCAATAGGTGATCGAAAGGTCGTATCTTCTAAGAAATTTAGTTTGAGACCAAGATCGATCAATCATCAGTAGACAATCGACCGATCGTGTTGATAACATGCATTTTGTTATAGAATTTCACATAAGGTATCTAGCATATTTTGTTAAGTTTTATGCATTTATAAATATCTATGAACATGTTTAGTTTCGATTTTGTTTTGAGGGTAGGAAATTCGACATTAGGCTTAAAGTGTTAGAAATCATATAGACAAACGATCGATTATCACGTCATGTGTGTTGGGAATTCCTGAGATCTCTACAGCGAATCTAATTCCTAAGAGATTGATTCTAGAGTTTGCGCAGCGGATATAAAACAAAAAATTTCTATAAAACCCTAAAACCAAGTATGCATGATTTCGTAGAAATGTTTAGAACGCTTACCTCAGTCGATCCGGGGCCTGTATCAATTGATTGTTCGTCTAATCACTAAAGAGAGGAAGATTACCTCGCCCTCTACACGTATCCACACCTCGGGATGAATTCCAACGATTGAAACTTGTCTGCTGGGACCCGAATCTGTTATTCGGTTATGTGCTATGAGAAAACGGGATTTAGATAACTTCTTAGACCCTCAAAGCTCACAAAGTGGTCTCTTAGAAGTTCACTTTTTCGGCTCACCTCTATTAGGGTTCTTAATCTCCTTCTTATAAAGTGATTAACCCTAATTTCGATTTATTTTCGAAAAACCCGAAAGTCAGAACGGACGGTCCAGATTTACACATGGACTGTCCGTTCCAGCACAATAGAATGGACGGTCTGGGTTATGCGGACCGTCCGTTCTAGACACTTCGGAACGGACGGACTACAACCTCTGGACCGTCGGACTGACCCTTATGGTCCGTCGGGTCTGGACATGCTGGACCATCAGGTCTGGCCCTTCTGGTCCGTCGGGTCTGGACCCTCTGTCTCGGTTTTTTGTTGTTTTCTCGTGCATTTATCCTTCCCTGCATGTATGACCCTGTAGACTCATCCGATATAGCAGTATACACGAAATCTCCATCTCGGGTATACAAGTCATAAGCGGTCTCTAGCAAGACACTATGACTATCTATCTCGAATAGAGTTTGTTCGTGATCTTACGAGCGTCAGTGATGATTCCGATTGATGATCCTTTTGTGTGACACTCGTAACCCGTGTACAGTATACGAGCTGTGCCACATGGACAATATAATAATAAAATAATAAACAGCGGAAGCGAATTGCGAAATCCAGAAACATTTTAATTCAAATCAGAGTAAGCAGCGGAAATATAACGCGATCAGTATCGCGAAATAATACATGTCCGAATAGTTATAATTTAACCATACAAAATACGGGAATACAAGTTCCGTAACCCAAAATGTAAATCCCGTACATGATGTTGTCTCTCTCGGGTCGTCGTCGTCTGGTGCGCTAGGAGTAATCCTCGTGATCTGTAAAAACGTAAAACCGCGAGGGCTAAGCACAACTGCTTAGTGAGTAGCCCGGGTTGATCCCGGTCATCCCGTTCTCAGCGAGAACGGTGATAAAACAATGGCATACAAGAAACAAACAAGTAATAACAACACGTATTTATATCACATCAATCATAATCACACCCGTATGGAGTCCACCATAGCGTTTAGCCATAAACCCTAGTCAAGTCGGCATGACTAGGAGCGCATCACACGCCCGTCACTCGCGTGACATTGGCAGTCGCATCGTGTGCAACTACACGTACACAGTCGCACGCTAGTCACGTCTCGTGACCACCGATGTCAAGTCCATGACACAACGAAAATACAAACATCCCCGTATGGAGTCCACCATAGGGTCCAGCCATATACCCTAGTCAAGTCCATGACTAAGAGCGCATCCACGCCCGTCAAGTCCATGACGTTGGCCGTCGTGTCGCACATGACTAAAACGCGTCTCAAACGTCCGTCAAGTCCATGACGGTGATGGTTGAGTCCACAACCATCCACAAACACATTCATGCTTGGCTCGTACACACGAGCAAGCTACACACATGGCAAACAACGTGCATATATCCCTAAGTACAATCATACGCATCACGGCATCCGGTCCCCACCGATCTACCGTTCAACGCCATGCAATTCTACCCACAAACAATCACACAACGGTCACTCGTATCTCAATATCGCACTCCCCACTATGCCACGCAATGTCTTGGCGAAGGATCGGTTCGATTGATCTCAATCACAAAGTTTTCTCCTTTGGTGGGAGCTTGGTTCGCCCATGGTCAAGTTTGGTCGGGCCCGGGCCAACCCCGTTGGTCGTTTCCTTTTTTCCCGGTCGAAACAAAAATTTTCCTCTTTTCTCCGAGCCTGGTCCGGCGGACCAAAGCCTGGTCAGTCCCGGACCAGATCCCCTTCTCTTCTGGTCCGCTCAGCTTCCTTGGGCCGTCGGTTTGTTATGAGACAGATCTGGTCCGGCGGAGCAGGTTTGGTCAGCCCCGGACCAGCCTTCTCTTTCTCTCTTGGTCCGACTCCCTCTTCCTTGGTCAACCGGACCATTTTTGGTCCAAAACAGGCTTGGTCTGCCGGACCAGGTTCTGGTCCGGGTCAGACCAAGCTTCCTCAGCTTCTTCTGCTCAGTCTGGCGGACTAAAACAATTTTCCGGACTTGGTCCGGAGCTGACCAGTTCCTGGTCCGGCGGACCGGAACTGGGCACTTCGTCCGTTCGCGATTTCAGGTTTCTGGTCCGACTTCGATTGCTCATAAATCTCTGTTGGGATTCCTGGGATCTCATGAGCGAATCCTATTCCTAAGAGATCGATTCTAGGGTTTGCGCAGCGGATGTAAAACAAAAATTTAATAAACCCTAGAACCATGCTTCTATGATTCGTAGAAACGTTAGAACGCTTACCTCAATCGATCCGGGGCCTGTATCAATTGAAGAATTCGTCTGATCACGAAAGAGAGGAAGAATACCTCGCCCTCTACACGTATCCACATCTCGGGATGGATTCCAACGGTTGGAACTTGTCTGCTAGGACCCAAATCTGCTATTCGGTTTTGATGCTTCGAGAAAACAAGACTTGGAACTCTTAGAACTCTTTGGATCTCACCAAAAGCTCTCCAAGTTCTGTACCAGACGGCTGTCTAAGTCTCTTGCACGATTAGGGTTTTTAATCTCATTCTTATAAGGTGATTTAACCCTAATTCGGTCTAATTTCCGAAAAACCCGAAACCCGGAACGGGCGGTCCAGAATTACACGTGGACCGTCCGTTCCAGCAAGCCAGAACGGACGGTCTGCTCCCGTGGACCGTGACGGTCTGCTCATGTGGACCGTCCGTTCCAGGCAAGCCAGAACGGACAGTTCTTTATCAACGCGGGCCGTCCGTTCCAACACTTAGAATGGATGGTCTGCGACTATTGGCAGACCGTCGCGTCTGGACCTGGCGTACCGTCCATTCCGGACTTCTGGTCCGTCCGTTCCAGACCCTTCCGTCTTGGTTTTTCCGTCGTTTTCTCGTGCGTTTCGTCCTTCCCTGCGTGTGTGACCCTGTAGGCTCATTCGATATAGCAGTATAACCCGAAATCTCTATTCCGGATATACAAGTCATAGGCGGTCTCTAGCAAGACACTATGACTACCTATCTCGAATAGAGTTTGTTCGTGATCTTACGAACGCCAGTGATGATTCCGGTTGATGATCCTTTTGTATCGCGATATCATATGTCGAACATAAGGCATGGACAAACCACCTTATCTGATTCGACTGCTTTCTCGTTCACTGAGTTCGACTGTCGGAAATAGACGACGTTCGTCTATAGTGTGGCCACACATTTCTACAGTCTCGCTCATACGAAGGGTCCAGCGATATCTCTCTCTTTTACGAGAGGTACAAATCTCATCTTGACTATCTACAATCCAACACATGATTCGTTTCGTACCTGATATACGCCTTTATAGTCCTCCTGTTACGCAGGACGTTTGTCGTATTCAAAGCACGCAACTCCTCATGTTGGATTCCGTAGATATCTTAGGTCTTAGAATCCAATCGTGGAACCACCATATGAGATTCAAGTCATGACGCTAGTCCATGTGGCAATCTCATGGGGGTCAATCCAGTATTCCGTTCTCCAATGAATACCTATGATTGTGATCGTATCCAATACCTATGATCATCTATATGATCATCAATCACACATCATACTAGTCTTAGTATATCATTATTCCCACAATGATACATGACTAGGGAATTTA